CTTGTCCAATGCTGAGTACACCCTGTTTATGAATAGAATTAGCTTAGTCAAGGATAGAAAGACGCCAAGCCAGATATTCAGTCATCACCACAGAAAGAGGTACTCCTAATAAGGCTTATTGTCCAAAACTGTTCTGCTCAACAAGCTAAATTGTGGGCCTTATACAAACTCTCAGCTGGGCTAAAGGTGAACACTTACACTGACTCGAGTTATGCTTTTGCCACTGTTTATTCCACAGAATGCTATACAAGGATCATGGACTTCTCATGGCAGAAGGAAAACAAATTAAAAACAAAGATGAGATTTTTCAACTCCTGACTGTTTTGGAAACCTGAAAAGGTCACCATTATGCACTGCAAAGGGCACCAAACGGTAAAGGACACTGTCACTGTTGGAAACAACAAACTTGACAAGGCTGCAAAAATAACAGCCAAAGGCTCCAGTTGGGGAACAAATGATGTGAAACAAAATCTTGAAGCCCAACATAAAATTCCCCCTAACATTGTCCTTAATCTCTGTAGCAGACAATTCCACTACTCTAAAGAAAAGAAAACTAAATGGGCACATCAGGAAGGGGCCTACATGGTCCCAACTGGTGCTTGGACTTTACCAGACAATAGGATGACATTTCCACAGAATTTGGCCTATACCTGGGCAAAACACCATCATGACATCACACATGGAGAAAAAATTGCTATGAATCAACTTCTAAGCTGTTACTATTATATTCTGAAATTAGCTTGGATCTGTGCCCCAGTTAGTCAGAGATACCAAATCAATGCAAGGACTGAACCCTTATCTGTGCCTAAATCCCCAACTAGTATCCCAAATGCTGGACTTTCCCCTTTTGAAGACCTATAAATGAATTTTACAGTAGTCAAATCATGTAGAGACTAGAAATACCTCATCTGTAATTATTCTGGGTGGCCAGAGGCAATTCCTGCTAGAACAGAAAAAGCTACTGAAGTTTGTAGCTTATTATTTAAAAAAGTATCCCTAGATATGGGCTGCCCCTAACCATAAGCAACAATAATGGCCTGTATTTGTGGCAAAAATAACACAGACACTGACTAAAACATTAAAAATCAAATGGAATTTGCATATCACATACAGGCCACAAAGCTCTGGAAAAGTTAAAAGAATAAATAGGACTTTAAAGTCAATATTGACTAAATATCACCAAGAAACTCAGGCACCATGGATAGATTTGCTTTCATGGTCCTCTTCAAGATCTGAAGCTTACCAGGGCCTATAGTACATACACCCTTTTAAGTTTTATATGAGAGACCCCCACCAGACTTACATCAGCTAGGTAACATATCTCTGCAGAAACAATTTACACAGTGAGAATAAAATCTTTTCTCAGATGCACAAAAATATAGCTGACAGGCCTGCCATACCCACAGACACACCTGCCCACACATATAGCCCTGGAGATATGGTTTGAATTAAGGATTAGAAAAAGGAGCCCCTACAACCTGTCTGGAGGGGCTCCTACTTAATTATTTTGACCCCTTCCACAGCTCTGTGTACCCCTCATTCCCCTCTCAAACTGTTTCTTTGGCTTAACCTACATGGTACTAACCTTAACTCCACTTCTACTCCTGGTCCCTTACTCCAGACCCACCAAAAGGAGGTACAGGAAAATGCCACCTGCCTCCTGGATTCCTCTGAAAAATCAAACATCTCAGCTGATTGTATAGGTGTTCTGATTGCTACCTCAGGCTCCCTCATGAAACTTTATTTGTCCTGACGCGGTCTATCAAGTGTTTTTGAGGACAAAAATGAGTCTCTATGTACTCATTTACTTCATACTCAACTTGTCTATTCCAGTCAATAGGGCCCCACATACATCCACTAGACTTGTCAAAAATGTGACCTGGTAGTACTTCCAATTTTGGCCAGGATAACAACAGCAGGGAGTCTAACCCTCAATGCCACTGCATTAAGCATGGGCCAACAACAATAGGTACAATTGGGCACCCAAATAGAGGACAATTTTACAGCAATTCAGGGAGCCCTTGACACACTACAGGACCAAATTGACTCACAAGCTGCAATAGTACTCCAAAACCAAAGGGCATTAGCCCATCTCACTGCCCAACAAGGGGACACCTGCATGTTCTTAGAGGAAGAATGTTGCTACTGTGCTAATAAGGCTGATGTTATTAGGGAAACCATCCACCACTTATAAGAACAAATAAGCCATCGGGCCTGAGACAGACAAACAGGCTCCTACTGGTGGAGCTACCTGGGAAACTGGGAGCTATGGTTGGGAGATCTATTAGGACCACTAACAGGCCTCCTTTTCATACTCTTAATAGGACCTTGCTTATTAAATTGGCTCACCTCCTTTATTACAAAACAAATAAATGCTAGAGATATAGCTCAGAGGCACAGCACCTGGTAAGAAGCAAGCACAAGGTCCTGAGTTGAATTTCTGGTATCGAAAATAATTTAAAATATAATAAACAATATTAGCCTCTAAATGACCCTCATGTCCAGTACCTCCTATATAACCTTAAACACCAACATCTCCAAAAATGATTTTTCTGATTAACCAAAAGAGGGGAAAAAGAAAGAGAAATTAATTTTTAAATAAAAGCCTATCAAGGATGTCCACCAAGACTAGGCAGACATATCCGTGTCCAGACAAGCCTGATGATGAGACATTTCCTCCTTTGTGTAACCCATGCTTGTTTAACTGGTGGTCTTGCAATATAATTGGAGATATATAAACACCCTCAACAACCCGTGATGTAACACAACCCTCCAATCATAATGCACTAAATCTGCCTCTGTACCTCCCCCTTGATCGCCCCATAAAAGTCCTGAAACCCCACCAGGTACAGTTCTGACTCTTTGGGAGAGATCCTAGTTAAGCCCACTGGTGTAATAAACTGCCTGCTAGGGGCTGGGGATTTAGCTCAGTGGCATAAGCGCCTGCCTTGCAAGTGTGTGGTCCTGAGTTCGACCCTGGGTACCGATAAGAAGAAAAAGACAAAAAATAAAATAAACTGCCTTCTAAACTTTCTCAGTGCCCTTTCCTTCTGTGTTTGGTCTGTTTTCCTTAACAATGTAACTAGCTTAATAATCAAAGAAGTGACTTATACAAGTTGCACTTGGTCCTATTTCCTCTGTTTAGTTTTTCAGGCAAAAATGGCATTTGTAACACTTTATATAAATGCGATAGTTTGCAGGGCCAAATGACTTTAATAAAAATGTTCTGTTGAAAATCATTGTTGGTCTACGGCCATATCATCTTGAACACGCCCAATCTCGTCTGAAATCGGAAGTTAAGCAGGGTCGGGTCTGGTTAGTACTTGGACGGGAAAATCATTCTTTACTCTGTTCAGCAATGTGACCCCCATATACATATCCCATTTTCAAGGCAAAAATGGATGGAAGGTGGGCGAGAAGGCAGCTAATATTTTATATGTGATCATAAAATTTTGACTACTAGCATACGTAGAATTACATATACAAAATCTTACTGCCACCAACAGAAAAACCGTAACCCTGTATGCAAGTGAAAGGGGCAAATTTTCAATGATTTACTGAGAATATACTATATAAGGGACTGTGGTTAAGTACTGTGAAAGTGGCTCCTTTGTTTGCTGCCCGCATCACTCCTAATAGTTGGGATCAACAGACCACTTACAAACAGGACTTACCAAGTACTTTTCCACCTATCAACTCCCTCATCAGATGCCTTTAACTTTCTTTTCCTTTCTCTTCCCCATCCAAATTCAAGTTGGGGAACTGCAGGCTGTACACTTCTTGAGAGTTGTGTTGTCATTGGAGCACAGTATTGTACTCCACAAATCTTTTTTGAATGAATGACAGCCTGAAAGGTGAATAAAAAGCGGCTTTCCTTTAGCAGTGACCATTCAAGAATTTCTGAGAAAAAAACAAAAAGAATTTTGGGGTGGGGGGAGCTGGTAATAACTCGCTTTTTCTCTTGTGGATCCAGAACTGTAAATGGGGAAAAAAATAAAACAATAACATTTGAGCAGGAGGCTGTAAGCAGAAGTGCCTAGAAAAAGTTATTAGAAGCACACAGCAAGAAGCAGAGTGTGCAGCTTCTCACATGTGCTAGCACTTAAAGTGTACTAAGCAGCTGGATCATAGATCCAGTTGGCCCTCAAGGTCGGATCAGAGGACATGAAACCTAATTAAAAGAAACCTAGTTCTACCATTGATCCTCTAGTTGTGTTTCCTACGCGGTTACTGTTTATCCAGTGATTATGTTTACAGCTAGGAGAAACAGGAAGAAAGTCTTTTTTTTTTTTTTTTTTTTTTTTTTTAGAGGATCAGATATTCGCAGGTTCCTTTCACTATAAATGCTGAAGTCTAGGTCTGGGACTTGGAAGCTTTTCTTAAGAGACTTGTTCATCCTCTAGGAGGGAAAACCGATCCTGGCGCATGAACCACTGGTACAGCAGAACCGAAAGCGGGTAGCCTGGGAACATTGGGCTAAGCAGGACACAATGCAGCTAACTGCGCATGCGTAAAACCAGAATGACCAATGCAAATCAGGCATGAGAGTAAACTGGGAGGATCTTTGTGATAAACCATTACAGAGGGGTGGGGAATGTAGAATGAAAGGGATATGACGTAGCTAACGCGACCTCGCCCCCGTGGGAACTGTCCCGCCAGTGAAAAGGGTGGGTCGCACGTCCCAAAGAAAGGGGGTTGCTTAGGGGAATTGCAGCAGCTAGATTTGACCTTGTCAGACTTAACCAAAGTGGGGGCACGGGGCAAATGGGCGAATTCGCGGGAGGGGCTGTCCCAGGTGGAGGGCAAGTTTCCAGACTCGAGAACGCAGGCAGAGGCTGCAAGGAAGAACTTCTGGCTGGTGGATGAGTGAACGGGTAAATGAAATGAGCTACGCTCTGGGACATGAACTAAGCGGAGTGTGGAGGCACGGCCATAAAAGAAAGTGAGCCGCTGACGTAAGGAAGAAGGGGCAAAGGTAAGCCAAACAAAATTGCTCTGAATTTGGGGGCGCGGCCCGTGCGTATGGGCGTGGCCTCGCCGCGCTCCTGCGTGATAAAGATGAGGAACACGAATGGCAAGCGCAAGTTACAAGCAGTGGGGTAGCCGCCGAGGGAGTACCATGGTCACTATGGACTTGCACCGCGGTAGAAAACAAGTGTGGATTCTGGCGTGGGCAGGAAAAAGGGCGAATATGGTCCCGGGCGCCGGAAGTATGGATAAGGCAGGACTTCCGGCTTCCGGGAGAACGGAGGCCGAACGGGGTCATGGTCTGAAGAGCGAAATGGGTTTTCCCGTGTGAGGGGTGTGGCAAAGTAGAGGGGGTGTATCCAAGATGGCCGCATGCTAGAACCTTGCTTCGTGAGAGCGAATAACAGGGATGCAGCTCGGTTAAAAGAAGGTGACGATATGGGGTTCCAGTAAAGGGAGTGTAATCTGCCTGAAAGGACATAGCATACCTACTGTTCTCCCACACACGACCACGCGCCACCTTGGGATCTGGATTCGGGGAAGCTGTCGGTCCGCTGAGGAGGTTCAGAGTCCTGGCGGGTTTTCTCTGGAATGGAAGTGGGAGGGAGTTGGGAGAAGAGCCCTTGCCTCTTTCTAGCCTTTTTTATTCCCAGGAAGGATCAGACATCTTTTTAAAGGTAGAACAGTTGTCTCAGAGATATAGGGAGTAAGAAGATTTTAATTCTAGCAACCAAAATACTGCAGACTGGCTCCTTTTGGTGTGGGTTACTGATCTTCTCCCCTGACTGTGCTAGGGAAAATAAACAGAATTTACAGTCACCAACAGGATAGGGAATCGCCAGCACACTTGTGTCCTGTGGGCAAATCCTAGTTCTTTTACTTTTGGCCTGTGCTCTAGAGCTGAAGGAGAGTGATCTCCAAAATACAAGTACTGTTAAACTGAGATTTTTTGTGATATTCAGCATTAACTGCTGCTGGTCGGAGGTTGCTAGAAACTACTTGTTAGTGTCAGTGTAACTCACATTTATTTTTGCTGGAAAATCTTGAAGAAGTTAACAGAGATGTGCATGCCTTAATTTGGTTAAAATTTGTTTTCTGGCAGCCACTGAAAATCACATTCGTATGTGCTACTTCTGCTTTTTTTTTTTTTTTTTTTAACTGATAATGTGTCTTTCTCCACTCTGCTAAAAGTCCTGCTGGAAAATGGAGAACAGCCAGAAATCATGTAAGAAGCCCTGCACATCTCAAAGCAGTTCCTTCACAGCCTGTACAGGAATCCATGGTGAACCAACCTTCACCCCTTTCACCCTCTCTTCTGGGACCTGGTAAGAAACTGCACTATTTTTCAGTGTTTTGAAGGGTTTTCTCCTTTTAAGTCACCACCTGGGCTGAAATTTACCAAAAGGCCAAAAGCAACCAGTTATCTATGCTCTTACACACCTCTCCTGTTCTCTGTAGGGCTAGGCAAAAGGCCGTCATTGCATAAAGTTGGAATGCAATAAGGATTGAGTAAATCGTGAGTAAAAACATTTGGGAAATGATAGAGGGATGAGCATTGCATATCATTGGCCACCCTGGGACAGTTAGTTGCAACACAACTGAGATATAAGAAGTGTATTTGAGGGGGCTGGGGATTTAGCTCAGCGGCATAAGCACCTGCCTTGCAAGCAGGCAGTCGTGAGTTCGATCCCTGGTACCGATAAAAACGAAAAAGACAAAAAAAAAAAAAAAAAAAAAGAAGTGTATTTGGAAATCTTTGGCAACCCCAAATTGGTATTACGCCTTCAGAGGAGAAGTGAGTGTAAGGTAGAAGCTAAGTTTTCTTAAATGACAATATAATTTGTAATTTAGGTTTCAGGGACTTGCAAAAGACTGGCTTCCTTTTGAAGTCGTGTGAGAAAATGAATGGTCAATGTAATAACAAGATATTTTTCAATACAATTGTAACCTTTTTTTTTCTGGTATCAGGAATTGAACTCAGGACCTCATACTTGCTAGGCAGGTGCTGTGCCACTGAGGTATATTCCCAGCCCTATAATTCTAACCTTTTATCAGTACTTTTTTGCTGCCCTTGCACAAATATAAAAAATTCTGAGAGATGTAGCTCAGTGCAAAAACACTAATTCAGTCCCCAGCATTGCAAAAAAAAGAAAAGAGACTTAGAATCTTTTTATTCACACTTTTCTTTTTTTTTTTTTTTTGTCTTTTTGAGACAGGGTCTCACTATGCAGTTAATGCTGGCCTTGAACTCACTTTGTAGCCCAGGTTAGTCTTAAACTCACAACGATCCTCCTGCCTCAGCCTCCCAAGTACTGGGATTACAGGCATGTGCCACTATGCCCAGCTTATTCACACATTTTTAAGTCTGCAAATCAGCAGATAAGGAGTATGTTGGCAAAGTGCAAGCCATACATAAATAATTTGTGATAGCAAATAATGGATAGCACTAAAACCTTGGTTTTCATAGGAGCCATCTAGTCACAGATTAATCTTTGTTAAAATGGAACATTATAAATATGAATCATTTGTAGTAGTATTTTTACTGTAAAGTTTTCACTAATAAGGGAGAAAAACATCAGATTCAGATAACTTCCACGTATTGCTTTTGAAACTTGCTCAGTGAATTCAGGTAGTGATTATATTTAAAAATTAGATGCTCTTAATTAATCTGGCTCCAGCTACTATTACGATAACGTATAGAAAGTCAATTAGCAGTCTGTCTTTTAACACATTAACAGTGGGTCTGCAATCTGTATGTCTCAATGCCAGGCAGCTCTGAACTACTAGTGATACATGCATGACTGTGATACAGTGCACCAGATGGTTCAGTCATGCATGTACTAATGATGGTTCAAGCCATTGAGAGCATGTCAGATCCTGAGCCACAATATTACATGGCTTTATGACAAGGGAATTTCTCATCTCAGACATTTTGACATACAACTGTAAAGAAGGTATATATAAAAATATATGAAATTGAAAAAAGTGATTTTAACCTTGGTTTGAGAATTTCTGATGCCAGGGAGAACAGGAGACATTGTGGTAGCTACAGTTAATTTCCTATTATCTTGTCTTGAAATCTTGTGTTGCTTGCATTGTTTTATTCTGATCTGCTTTGTTCTTTTCTGTTTTGTTTTGTTTTATTCTCTTTAAAATAAATTTTTTAAGAGAATAACACCAAATGAGACAAAACAAAATAGAGTCAATCAAAACAAAAGGATCAACACAGTACATGACTTAAAAACAAAATATAAAGAGATCAGAAATGGCCACCGTAATGCCTGTTGTTATCCTCAAAAGAATTGCCCATATCATCAGTCATAATAAAATTGAACGTAATAGTATAGAACAAAATCAATAAAAACAAAAATTGGAGACGTTATAGGACTTTAAAAGAAGATAATAATCCAACCAGAATGGGTATTGTAGTGTATCTTATTGTCTTCAAAGTAGTTGCCTGTACTATCAGACTTGATACTATCAAACAACACAATAGAATAAAAACAGTCAAAACAAAATAGTGAAAGCAATACAGGGCTTCAAATCAAGCTAATAGCAAATCAAAAATGATTACGATAATATATCCTGGTATCTTTGGAATAGCTCTCCATGCCAACAAATAAAATACAAGGAGACAAACGGAAAGAGAATAAAACCAAACTAAACAGAACAATAAAGACAATACAGATTTCAAATTATGATACTAGATTAACAATGGCTACTGCCTTCCTTTTTTAGGCAATTCCTCCCCTTTCACTTTAACAGGATATATTGCACATTTTAGATCCCACTAAACTTTTTTAGTTTTTATATTAGGGAGGCAACCTGCTATTCACTTAAGTGATTCTGAACCTTTTTTACCCCTGAGCATGATCTCAAGCTGTATCCATTTGTCTACAAGAGCCTCAAGGTTTTCTTTGTTTATAGCTGAGTAGTTTTCCATTGTATAAACATGACATGGCTTTCTAAACTATCTGCAGCTGATGGACAAGCTATCCCCACTTTGTTTCTGGTTCCCTGTCACATACAGCATTGTTTTCTCATCTTTGGCCTTCAGTCTATAAACCCCCTTTCAAGTTAAAGGTGTTTCTTACATAAAGCATACTGATGGACCCTATCTCCTGATCCACTCTGACTGTGTTTCTTTTTATTGGTGGATCGAGGCCATCTACATTAGTGATTATGGACAACCTTCCCTACCTCACTCTGCTATGCTGTTTTTCTGATTGTTGGTTGTCTACTTTTCCCCTTCATTCCACTGTCTGCCCCATTCAGTGAGCCCCCTCTGCCACTATTCCTGAAACCATAGTCTTTTTCCTCTCTCTCTAGAATGTCCTTCAGTATTTTTTGTAGGGTATGTTTGGTGGTCATGAATTCCCCCAGTTCTGCTTTGTCATGAAAGCATCTTGTTTATCCATTAATTTTGAGAGAGAGTTTTTCAGGGTACAACAATCTGGGTTGGAGGTTATTTTCTTTCAGGATTTGGAATACTTCACTCCAAGCTCTTCTTGATTTGATGGTTTGTCTCAAGAAGTCTCTCAATTTGCTGATGGATTTTCCTTTATAGGTGATCTGTTTCTTTTCTCTGGCAGCTTTTAATATTCTGTTTTTGTGTTGAATTTCTGGGATCTTGTTTATTATATGTCTGGATATAGATCTATTTTGGTTATAGCTGGCTGGAGTTCTATATGCCTCACTTATCTCAATATCATTTCCTTTTCCTATGCTTGGGAAATTTTCTTTAATTATTTCTGTAAATAGCCTTTGTATTTCATTTGTGTTTACCCCTGCTTCTTCACTCACATTTTTTTCTTAAGTTATAGATTCTCTTATCATCTTCTAGCCTATGTATTGTTACTTCCTGGTTCTGTGTTACTTTTGAGAGATTTTTCCTTTCACAATCACAAGCTGCAAACCTGTCTTTAAGGTTTGATAGTCTTTTTTAGTTTCTTTCAAGCAGTTTTGCCAGCTTTGAATGGAGTTTTTAATTTCCTGGTAATCTCTTTGAATCTGTTTCATGTATTTTAAATTTTTTATATTCATCCTTTTTCTATGCTCCTCTATTCTTCCTTCTGTGCCTTCTTTAGAGGTGCTTAGCAATTCATTATGGTTCTCATTTATTCTTTTACCTGTAATAGTATTTCTTTTTTTTTATCAGTACCGGGGATCAAACACACGACCGCCTGCTTGCAAGGCAGGTGCTTATGCCGCTGAGCTAAATCCCCAGCCCCTGTAATAGTATTTCTGTTCTAAGTTCTTTTATAGCCTTATAAAGTTGTCTTTATTTCAGTTGCTGTTGCTTCAGAAACTTCAGGTGTGTGATTCCCAATCTCTTCTGTGTTTACATCTCCTAGACCAGTACTGCTTGAGTTGGAGGCCGGAGACTGCGTTTTGCTTCTTCCAGGCAAGTGGGTAGTGGGGTCCTCAGCACTTCCTGTATTGGTTATAATTACTCTGAAGCATGCTGGCTAGGTATTTCTGCTGCTTGCTGCTTTTCCCAGCCTGCTGGTGGATATTGGAGTACACCAGGGGCGGGCAGGCTGGGGCCTCCCTTCCAGGCTGGTTAACTGCAGGGAGTCTTCATGTTAGTATGTGCCAGGCAGGCAGGTTGGTTGGTGATAGCTTTATACAGTGGCTGTTGGACCACGCACAGGGATGGGACTCAGTCCATGCAATTTCCACCAGTCTGTTCCGGGCTAGGAGTGACTAAATGAAGAGGGCTGCAGTTCTGGCTCTGGGCTTATCTTGCCCAACTCCAAAATGGCCCCTGGCCAATCGCCCACTCCCGCGGGAGGATTGAGTCCCCCATATTCACCACCAGCTGGTGCAGATTTCTGGTCTGCTGCTCCCCTCTGCTACTGCATCGTCTCCAGAGATGTGTTCAGGCTTTCCAGCCACCAGCTTCACTGTGACTGTGTGTCTCCAGGTTCCAACAGCGTTTCTTACACAGTGGTTCTGGCTCAGGTTGAAAGTGCCACTGACTCCCACCTTCTTCTGTTTAAGTTTTTGTTTTGTTCATTTTCTCTGTGAGCTTCAGTTCTCACTTTAGTTTCTTTCTGGGTCGAGGAGACCCACTTCCTTCCTTGTCTTCTCCAGAATGGTATATTCCAGCATCTGGACTGTTTCTCCCAGAGAAGCTATTCACTCTGCTGCTTACTATTCTGCCATCTTCCCCTAGCTCTAAAATATTTTTTTTAAAAAAGAAACTATGATCAAATGATGTCAAAACTATTCAGTTTGGATGAGGCCAATTTTTTCTACAGTGTTGAGAAAACTGTATGCCTGCATGCAAAAGAATGAAGTTAGTTGATATCTTCCAATGTATGTAAAAATTAACTCAAAATAGATGAAACATACAAGGATGAACGTGGGAAACCCTGTAATTGGCTGCCATCTTATATCTGCAGGCTGCACCACCCTAACTCCCTCCAGGAGTTAAATTTGGTAGTTAAGCAGCACCTTGCCTACCTAGCTTGTTTGGCCTATTCAGGAATTATGTTAATCGGCCTGCCTTATGAGCCCACACCTGGGAAATTTGAATTGACCTGTAACCTTTGCTACTGTTGCTAAGTTACCTGCTGACATCTCGGAACCCAAATCCCTCCTCCTCAATACCCTATATGTTTGTTACTCCTTCTGTGAATAAATGAGACTTGATCGACTTCGTCTTGTCTCCATCCTTTGTGTCTCTTGTCCCCTCTTCATCCCCACTCCCCCTCTAGGGTCTCCGTGGACTTACCCACAGGCCGAGACAAGTGGCGCCCCAACATGGGACCCAAGAACAGGGGACTTAATGAGGGACGCTGTTAGTGGGCCCAAAGTAGAAAAAGGAAAAGAAAATAGAGGACCAACGTGGGAGCCTGCCATGCCACTGAACCTCAGTAAGTGAACAGCAATTATGGGACAACAAATTAGCCAACATGAAACTTTTGTTGAAAGTTTAGAAAAGCTTTAAAGATGCAAAGGGTAAAGGAAAAGAAAATTTAGCAATTGTGTCCGCTAGGACAAGGAATGAGCCAACATGAGATTTTTGTTAAAAGTTTAAGAAAGGCTTAAAAGATGCAAAGGGTAAAAGGAAAAAAAAAATTAAGCAATTGTCCACTAGGGCTAAACTTTAACTCGGGAGCAAAGCCACCAGTAGCCGTGCATCCCTCCCCCATACTGTAATGATGGTATAGTTCCAGCTTCAGTGTGTTTAACTATGATACTAGGAAGGAATTAAGAGACTAAATTGAATTTTTAAAACAACAGATTGAACTAGAAAAAGAACATCAGGATTTGATAGCTCAATTAGAAAAACTAAAAACAGCTAAATTTAAAATGAAAAGTGAAACTAACCCCAGAGTTTCCTCCAGGATTTCTCCTGCTCAGTGACCCCCGCTGAGAGGCATGATTTCTAAATTTACCCCCCTGGCCTGATCCAATATTAAAGCTAGATGATATGGAGGCTTTCCCTGTGATGGAAATGAGGGACACAGAGGGCGGAGTTATTCGACACTACTCTGGTTTCAAATTCAAACTGAATAGAGAATTAAAAACAGTGGTTACACAGTAGGAAGACACAGCCACATATATTCTTGCTGTCTTGGATTCTTTTGCTGATGGCTGGCTCACACCTACAGATTGGTAAGGATTGGCCCGAGTGACTTTATCGGGTGGGGATTATCTTTTGTGGAAATCAGAATATATAGAAAATTGCAAAGAGACTGCCAGGCGCAATATGCAAGCTGGCAGTGGGTGGGACCTTGATATGTTAATAGGGGAGGATGCCTATGCCGACAGAGAGGCCCAAAAGCAATTTAAGGGCGATATGAGTTCCTTTCTCACGAGCATTAAGCAAGGGCTGGGGGTTTAGCTCAGAGACATAAGCACCTGCCAGCCAAGCCAGGGTTGTGAGTTCAGTCCCAGGGCTAGAGATTTAGCTCAGTGGCACAAGTGCCTGCCTGAAAAATGAAAGGCTGTGAGTTCAATCCCTGGTACCATTGACATTGGAACTGCTTATCAGCAAGGCCATTGCTGTGGCTGCCGCCTTGCAAGGCTTTACAGTTAGACAATTCTTATCTCAAAAAAATAAAAGTGTTTAACCTGTGGAAAGACTGGTCATTTTGCAAAGAACTGCAAAAAAAGACTCCAGAGATAGAGATTCCAATGTCAGTTACTTTGATTCATTTAAAAGGCATAGGTCAGCTGGTCCGACGGCAGTGGGTTATCAGAACTTATTAACATTAGTGTCACTAAAGTTGTTATACCACCCCCCCACTGCTAAATTTGACTGGCTTTAAAAAAAAAAAAAAGGCATAGGTCAAAGCCAAAACCCATAAAAAAGTTCAAAACTTCTGACCTGGAAGGACAGAGAGGACAATCAAGGCACGATACAACCATATGTCATAGCTGGATTACCAATAAATCTTTGGGGTAGAGATCTACTGGCACAAATAGGGTTAATTATGGGTAGCTCAAATACCATTGTCACTGCTCAAATGTTAAATAGTGGATATTCACCTGATATGGGCCTTGGAAAAAATAATACAGGAATGACAGAGCCCATAGAGACTGTACCAAAAACAGACCAAGCCAGATTGGGCCATTTTCCGTAGGGGCCATTGTCACTCCTGCGATCCATGCAGAAAAAATTATGTGGCTGTCAGAGGAGCCTATATGGATCCATCAGTGGCCTCTCACCTCTGAAAAGTTAGTGGCTGCACAACAGCTGGTACAGGAACAGCTTAAAGCAGGCCATATAGTACCTAGTAATTCCCCCTGGAACACTCTCATCTTTGTCATTAAAAAGAAATCAGGGAAATGGCAATTGCTTCAAGACCTTAGAGCAGTAAACAGGACTGTGGTCTTTATGGGAGCCTTACAGCCAGGCTTCCCTTCACCTGCTGCTATACCTTTGGGCTATTTTAAAATTGCCATAGATATCAAGGATTGCTTTTTTACTATCCCCCTGGACATGGCATGGTCCAGACCCAGTCCTTATCTGGGGACAAGGATCAGTATGCATTTACTCTAAAGAGATGAAATCTGCGAGATGGCTGCCAGAATGATTGGTTAAACAAATAGATCAAATACAACAAATAGAGGATAATGTTACAGAGGGCTCCAGGGACGAAAAATGACCCCTGAGAGAATTTTTTCACAGCTTTTGTTTTTCAGATGATGGAACCAATAGCCTGGATCATGTCTCTTGGAATTATGAGAATAAGTTGATGGCTTTTGTCAAACAACACAGGTCCCTTACCACAGGCTTAGAATAGCTGATAGAGAAAATTACGTGGAGCCCGCAAAACTGTGTTATGATAATGCTTTGTGAAAGCATGCTGCCCGCTCCATTTCTCTTGCCTTGGTACAATAGACTGGATAGCCAGAAATGGGCAGCTGGGCCTCACACGGGACGCCAACCTCCACCTAAGACAGGAACTGGGCCTCTCGCTGCCCTGCCTTCCAATGACGGGTAAGGCCAGGTTGGCCCCGCTGTGGAAGTGCCCTGATTCAAGACAGGCACAGTCTCCTCAAGGATGCAGCCTCTTATATTTTAAAGTAAAGAGGGACCTGTGGGAAACCCTGTAATTGACTGCCACCTTATATCTGCAGGCTGCACCACCTTAATATCTGCAGGCCACACCACTTTAACTCCCTCCAGGAGTTAAATTTGGTAGTTAAGCAGCATCTTGCCTACCTAGCTTGTTTGGCCTATTCAGGAATTACGTTAATCAGCCCGCCTTATGAGCCCCCACTTGGGAAATTTGAATTGACCTGTAACCCTCGTTCTTGCCACTGTTGCTAAGTTACCTGCTGAAATCTCGGAATCCAAATCCCTCCTCCTCAATACCCTATATATTTGTTACTCCTGTGAATAAACGAGACTTGATCAGACTTCGTCTTGTCTCCATCCTTTGTGTCTCTTGTCCCCTCTTCATCCCCACTCCCCCTCTAGGGTCTCCGTGGACTTACCCGCAGGTTGGGACAAATGAAAAAAGGGGAATGATTCATAGCATCAGATTCAGCAAAATGTCATACCAAAATTAAAGGCATCTAAAGAAATAATACATAGAGCTCATCAAAATTAAAAACTTTTCATGTGTCAAAGGTTACCATCAGAAGAATGAAACTACAGCCATTCACCCTTCCTATGAGACAGCAATGGCCATGGGGGCTGGGAAGAGAAACGTGAAGCCAGTTCACCTTTTCCATGAACCAGCAGTGGCCTCACAGGGCCAGGAAAAAAAAAACAAGAAGGCAATTTACCCTTCATGTGAGCCAACCAGCAGATAGGCTGGGAGACAAGAAGATCCTCCCTACCGCCCCAAGCAACTGACTGATTCGGAGGATCACAGGCTGAGTTGATAACGAGGTACAAAAACAACTTAATTCTTTAAAAAAACAAACAAAAAAAATTCTAATTCCTTTTAGGTATCACTGCTGGTTATGAGATGAATTATCCCCCCCTCCAATTCATGTATATCAGTCTTAAGTCCTAGTATCATAGAATGTGATTTTATTTTATTTTTTTCTTTTAGAATGACTTTAAAGATCAGGTCTTTACAAATATAATGAAGTTAACATGCACTCATTAGGATAGTCTCTAGTCCACTATGACCAGTATCATTAATTAAAGGGGAAATTAGATGGACACGGTGAAAATGCATGGTGAAGGTTTGAAATAACATTGACACAAGCCAAGAAACTACGAAAAGCAAAATGTACAGTTCTCCAGGAAAACAGAACCAATAGAATAAAGGAGCATAGAGAGATTTATTTTAAGGAAGTAACTCACTGTTATACTAAGATGCTAAAAATTAAAATAATTGATCAAAAGATAATTAACAAAAATAGTTACTTAAAAAGATAGTTATTAGTAATATTGTCATTCTGTACTGAGCTCATTACCCTAGTAACCAAGCACCAACCACATAGTTATAAATTAACTGACTGCGTCGTTCTGTTCTGTAATGTGTCATGCCCCCCCATCTTAGTGACCTATGTGCTATGTCAACTTTTGTTCTCCTTGTAAGAGACAAATGATGCTGTGTCAACCATTGTTCCCTTCATGAGAGACAAATGTTCCTGGAATTGGCAGACCAAGGGCTATGAATTGGCTAACCACCCACTGTGAAATGCCTCTTACCTCAAGCAAAGGGGAACAAAGGCCCACCTTATTTCTGTTTCTCATCACTATGTACTTAATGATCGATGAGCTAATCATAAATGAACTATAAAAATCAGTCAGAACTCTAACTCAGTTTCACAGCTTTGCAAATTCCATCTGCACTGTGTCGCCAGGCCAGCTAAAATAAAAGCGCTTCTTTTAAAAAAAACGTCTTGCCCTGTTTGTCATTTTGGGGTCTTGCCCCGTTTTTCATCATGGGGCCTTGTTTTTTGAGTAGAGTACAACACTCACATGGATAATAAGTCTGGTAAATCTTAAACTCACAGTGCAGGCCTGCGTACTAGAAACCCAGAAAAGAGTTGGTGTTGCAGCTCAAGTCCAAAGGCAGCTGCAAGTAGAACTTAATCTTCTTTGAGGGGTCTTAGTCTTCTTTCATTCAGCTTTTCAACTGATTGGATGAGACCCAACCACATGGAGAATAATCTGATTTTACTCTACTAACTGAAATGTTAATCTTGCCCAGGGTGGTGGCACATGCGTATAATCCCAGCACTAGGCTGGGCCGCTTAGTTCAGGACCAACCCCGAACTGCGTAGTGAGATTCTGTCTCAAAAAAAAAAAAAAAAAAGAAAAAGAAAAGAAATGTTAAACTCATCTAGGGCATACCTCTACAGTGCTGTTTAGACTGATACTTGACCCAATATCTGGGTTCCATTGCCTAGTTTGATACAGAACTGACTCTGCAAGCAGAAAGGCACATAGAACAAATCCTTTGTAGCCCTCAGAAGGAACCAATTCTACCAGTGATTTCGAGCTCACACTTTAAGCTTCTAGAATGATGAGACATTAAATTTGTATATTTAAGTCAACCAGTCTATGATAGTTTATTACAAATGAATACACTGGACTAAAGACCCCACGTAGGGAGTCAACCGCCATGGAGTTTGCTGACTTCCTACCTGTCCCTTTCAATGTGATGGCAGCATATCCCCATCCCTCTAGTTCAGAGTATGACTTAGCAAAGTCATGCATATATACAGTGCCTTGTGTGCTTCATTTTACCATATACAGAGATGATTTCCTCTCCTTAAACCTAAGTGTTGCCTTCTCCCTGTGTAGCTCAGAGGGAACAGGGCTAAGGCAGAATACAGAGAAGTGCCCATATATAGCAGGGGTATACTGAAGAGGGGGAAGCATGAACTTATGTTTGTTTCATTGCTGTGCATCGCTTGGGGTCATGGTGGGGGTTTTTATGTAGCATATCCTCCTTACAAGGTGGCATAAAAAGAGAAAGTTCATGTCTGTAGGTAAAATGTTAATGCCCCTATACTTCTCGATTGACTCCTTTGCCACTCGTCCCCTCCCCCAACAAGGCCACACTCCTTTTGGCAGATGAAGGCAGAATCTGAGGAGGCATGAACTCCCTGCTTTGAACTAGTTTCTTTTGTTTCCTTCCTTGTGCTGTGTATATTATAGGAGGCTCCTGAGAGGAGAGATTACACACTGCAAGATGGACTTCAAGCCCTGTTAGTCTTTGCATCACCGCACCCAACACAGATGCTGAAGCCAAGGAAAAGACAAGAAATACTGCAATGAAGATGATTCCTGACAGGTTCCCACCTCTGAGCCTGACTTAGGCTCATAATCAGATAGGTTCCTCTTTGAGATCAGGTAATACTCTTGTGGGCCCTTCTATTTTATAAGGAGAGATATAAGACCCTAACCCTAAAGCATAAGGTCCCACCTCAAGGTGTGAAGGTAATAATCTAAATGTTGTCCTACTCAGGTTTTCACATGATTTTCAGCATCTTGCTGAAAGCTCCTCTGCCTTTCTCTCTCTAGCTGTTTAGGCTCCTGCAAGTAACTTTGCAACTGATGAAGATTGCAAGCCCAAGATGATAATGATAAAGAGCCTGAGGATTGCTCTTTAACTCCTTGCAGATCTCTGTTCAAATGGTTCCTGGTTCCCAGGTCCGTCAATCAAGTCCCCACCATCTCTAGACCTGCAGCTAAGGACCCTAAACAAATCCTGTGAGTATAATACTTGGTTGAGGACATGAGAAAGGCTTGTGGAATTTATACCATTTATTAAGCATTTGTAGATAGGATATCATTTGCATTCCAGTGTGACAGCTCTTAAGAACTGTCAGCATAACCATTCGCTACCATGCTGAAATGGTGGCATACAAGAGCTTGACAAGATAGATATCCACTTTCAAGTGTCTCACAACCTGATATTTTTAGCATTTCTGTTTTTTTTTTCTTTAGCATTTCTTAATAGCAGTTATCTTTTTACTAACATTGATCTGCAAATCAAACATTGAGGCTGCAAATTATTTCTGTGAATCTTAGCTTTCTAGAAGTTGGCATATTAATATTTGCATGCATCTCAATAGCTTCATGTTGCAGAATATTCTGCCCTGAGTTATAGATTCCATGCTCTCTGACCAGCTCAGCTGGAAAATAGGAGCTCAGGTAGGCAGCAGGTGATCTTTCTCCCCTCCCCCACAAACACAAGCTACTGCCCATGTGAGGACACAGGGATTTTCCACCTGATGCTCTTTGCTGCTAGAAGCTGTCCTGATCCATGTAGATGTTCAGTGACATATCTGACCTCTACCGATAGCATTCTTACCCAAATAATAACATTGAAAAGTGTCTTAAGACATTAGCAGGGCTGGAGATTTAGTTCAGCAGCATAAGCACCTGCCGGGCAAGTACAGGGTCCTGAGTTTGATCCCAAGTACCAAAAATATACACAAAAAAAGACATTTGTAAATCCCACACCCCAGATAGAGAACTACTGGAAGGATAGGAGACAGTGTACCATATGCAATGGTGTATCAGTTATTTTATTTTCCACTGTTTGTAGTGAATTAGCATAGTTTCTAAACACTACTTCAACACTCCAGGTGTTCCTCCTTTTCCTCTATATGTTTGAACTAAAAACACATCTGAAAATGAATTCAAAGCCAGATGTGGTGGTGCACCCCTGTAATTGAAGCTCTCAGAATGCTGAGGCAGGATTCTAGCATAAGCTACATAGTTCATGTCCAGCCTGAACAAGTAGTGAGACCCTGTCTCAAAAAAACAAAGCAAAGGAACACATAAGTGATACTAATCCAGCTGAAACTATTGCCTTCAAATTACTTCCTATGTTTTCATTATAAGTTTTATTTTCTCCAGTACAGTAATTATTTTGCCAGTGCAGTATTTTTTTATTTTTTTTTAAGGCTAGTCAAGTGAAGCAGTGGGAGTGGAGAAGGAACAAAGAAATCTGTAACTGGTTGTGATCAATTAGTTGTAAACACCACTGCACTCGGTCCAGCCTGCCAGTGCAGTATTGACTGTGTTCTCAATGACATGAACCTGCTGCAACCAAAATTTCTAGTGACTGAGAGTACCTACATCCTTCCTAGGATGACTTACTCTGAAAACTGACACTTTGTAGTATGAGATTTTTTATTTAAGGAGAAAAAGGAAAAGAAAACAGAAAAAGGGTACAAGTTATACAAAATTTCAAAAGCAATAAACAGTAGGAAATCACTTGTTCATAGATTGTATATTGTCATCTTAGAAATAGTTGTTCAAGTTACAAAATTAAAACATATAAAGTGGACATTCAAACAGTGAGACTGCAAACAGTTCTGTTCAATGATCCAACAAAAACTCAGTAATATGGTTATCTATCTTATATGCTTAAATATACATGCAGTTCTATCCTTTAGAGCACTTTCTTTTCCTCTTTTTTTTACAATAACAATTACACATTTTGGGTTTATTCCCCCCCACTGTTCTTACTACTTTTTTTTTAAGAGAGTAAAACCAAATGTGACAAAACAAAACAGAGTCAGTCAAATCAAAAGGATGGATATAGTACATAATGTAAAAACAGAATACAAGGTGATCAACAATGGTTACCATAATGCCTCTTGCTATTTTAAAAAGAATTGCCTTTATCATCAGTTATAATAAATTGAAAAAAACAGTAATAAACAAAACCAGTAAAACCAAAACATTGGAGACATTACAGGACTTCAAAAGAAGATAATAGTCAAACCAAAATGGGCATCATAGTGAATCTCATTGTCTTCACAGTTGTTGCCTATACTCTCAAACTTGGTACTATCAAGCAAAACAGAATAGAGTAAAATCAGTCAAAACAAGATGGTGAGAGCAATACAGGGTTTCAAATCAAGTTAATAGGAAATGAAAGTGGGTTACTATAATATATCCTGCTATTTTTAATTTATTTTTTCCCTTAATTAAAAAGATAAAAATAATAAAAAAGGAGATTGAGATAAAAGAGGACATAGCAACAAAACAACACAGAACATAACCATTTAAGCAAAATGGTGTTTCACCACAAGTTATCACAACATAAAAGTAGTTACCATAGTGTCTCTTTCATTGAAATCTTTGAGTATAATTTCGTATACTGTAGCATCAAACATATCAAGACAGTGTAAAACCATTCAAGAGAATGACATTATTACAGGGTATTAGAGCCAACTAACAGAAAATGAACAATGGTTTCTGTATAATCTCCTCTATAAAAGTTTTTGCTTATACTGTGATACATAATAAAATCCAATAATATACAACCTGTTCAGACCAATGGAGACAGAAGAACAAAAGCTTGATGAGACTTCAAAACAAGATGATACTAAATCAGTATTACCTATTAAGATGTCATTTTCTCCAAAATAGCTCTTCCTGTCATCCAATCTTCTCTGCCTCATTTCTGTTGAGCTCTTTTTCTGTCATTAGTTGTCAGTTTGTCTTCTTCATTTTGTTTTCTACTCCATTCATTATGGCCTCTCTGCCACTATTTCTGGATTCTTCGTATTTTTCTTTTTTAAAATATCCTGCAGTATTCCCTATAGAGTTGAATTGGTGGTTGCATATTCCCCTAGTTCCTCTTTATCCTGGAAGCACCTTGTTTTTCCATCAATTTCCAGGGATAGTTGTGCAGGATATATCAATCTTGGCTGGAGATTATTATCTTTCAAAGCTTGAATTATTTCCCCCCACGCTCTTCATGATTTGATGGTTTGTGCCGAGAAATCTGCTGTAATTCTGATGGGTGTACCCTTGTAAGTGATCTGTTTCTTGTCTCTGATGGCTTTTAATATTCTGTTCTTGTATTGGATTTCTGGAATTTTAATTATTATATGCCTGGGTGTTGCTCTGTTTGGGTTGTAGGTGGCTTGGGTCCTGTATGCTTCATACAACTGAGTATCTTTACCTTTTGCTAAATTACAAAAATTCTCCTGGATTATTTCTGTGAGTAGCTTTTGTAGTTCATTTGTTTGTGTCCCTACTTCTACTTTTATGTTCTTAATTCTTAAGTTATAGATCCTCTTATCATCTTCTAGTCTTTGTATTATTGCTGTTTGTATCTTTGTTATTTTTAAGAAGTTTTTCATTTCATTCTCCCATATTACAAATCTGCCCTCCAGTTCAGATAATCTGTCCTTAGTTTCTTTTAACTGTTATGCCAGTTTTCAATAGAGTTTTTAGTTTCCTGGTAATCTCTTTGAACCTGCTTCATGTATTCTATGCTTTCTGTATTTTCTCCATCAAACAATTGTCCCCTCTTTTTCTGTTCTTCCATTCCACCATCTGTTTTTTCTTGGGTAGTGCTTAGCATTTCTCTAACTATTCTGCTTATGTCTGCTTCAGGTCATTAATAACTTCATTCCTGAACTTGTCTATGAGGCTCTGGAGATAGCGCTTTATATCTATTGGTGCTGTGTCTGCTATTGCCTCTTTCTCAGGATTGGGGGCTGAGGACCCTTTCTTGTTGCTGCCTCTTCCCATATTCTTTGTTCCTTATATATGCAAGCATGTATAGGAGGCCCAGCTTCCTTCCCTGTCGGCCGCAGTCTGATTGAATTGTGCTGGCTAGGTGTTCCCACCCACCATAGCACACCAGGAAGTTGCAGACCAGGCAGCCTATGTGGGGCCTGCCCCTCCAGGTCAATCTACCTTCAAGCGCTGGGACCTGGGTTGTGCTAGCCTACTGGGTCTCAGCCACCAGCATCATGTAGGCTAGGCACTGCTCACCAATCCCCCTTGAGAGGGGGATACGTGACTGAAGTCACTGCAGTGCCCTGTTCTGGCAAGTCTGCCCAATCCCAGAATGTCCTCTGTTGGAGTCTCCTAGACCATGGAAGAGTCCCAGTTTCTCTCACTCACTGCAGGTCACTGCACAGCTCCCCGCTCGTCCCACTCTCAACTCCATTCACCGATTCCCATTCTCAGAGCTTTCGCTCATCTCTCTCCCTGCTGAGCCGATGTAGATGCAGCAGCAGCGGCGGGAAACCCAAATCACTGCTTCCAATGGTGTGGGCTCCAGCTTCCACACTGAGGATTTTCTGTTCCTGTTATAGCACCGGGATTGCATTCCCAGTTGGTTTCTCTCAGCCCAGTTCATTCTTGGGTCAGCAGGGCATATCTCCACTTGCTTATGATTCCTTACTCCGCATCATTCCTGAATTCTAAGCTGGGTCTTTCAGAGAGCCTCCGTAGCTGCTGCTATCTATCCGCCATGTTCTCCCAGAAGTCTCTCCATTAATTTCTAGGGACAGTTGTGCAGGATATATCAATCTTGGCTGGAGATTATGGTCTTTCAAAGCTTAAATAGTTTTGCACCATGCTCTTCATGATTTGATGGTTTGTGCCAAGAAGTATGCTGTAATTCTGATGGGTATTCCCTTGTAAGTGATCTGTTTCTTGTCTCTGACAGATTTTAATATTCTGTTCTTATATTAGATTTCCGGAATTTTGATTATTAAATGCCTGGGTATAGTTCTGTTTGGGTTGTAGGTGGCTGGGGTCCTGTATGCCTCATACATCTGAGTATCTTTACCTTTTCCCATATTAGGGAAGTTCTCCTTGATTATTTCTGTGAATAGCTTTTGCAGTTCATTTGTTTGTATTCCTGCTTCTTCCTTTACATTCTTAATTCTTAAGTTATAGATCCTCTTTATCATCTTCTAGCCTTTGTATTGTTACTGCTTGTTTCCTTGTTATTTTTAAGAAGTTTTTCCTTTCATGCTCCCACATTACAAACCTGTCCTCTAGTTCAGATAATCTATCCTTAGTTTCTTTCAAGCTATTATGCCAGCTTTCAATAGAGTTTTTAGTTTCCTGGTAATCTCTTTGAACCTGCTTCATGTATTCTATGTTTTCTCTATTTTCTCCATCAAACAATTCTCCCCTTTTTTTCTGTTCTTCCATTCCACCATCTATTTTTTCTTGGGAGGTGCTTAGCATTTCTTTAACTATTCTACTTATATCTTGCTTTACTTGGTTCAATACTTCACTTTTGAACTTGTCTATGAGTTCCCGGAGATATCACTTTATGTCTATTGGTGCTGTGCCTGATATTGCATGTTTTCTATCCTCATTCTCCTTTGCATTTACCTTTCCTGGATCAATGTTCTCAGGATTGGGGACTGAGGACCCTTTCTTGTTGCTCCCTCTTCCCATACTTTTTGTTCCTTCCACACAAGCATATATAGGAGGCCCAGTTTCTTTCTTTGTCCTTTACAGTTTGAATCGTGCTGGCTAGGTGTTCCCACACACTGCAGTGTACAAGGAAGACACAGACCTGGGCAGCCTATGCTGGGCCTGCCCTCCAGGTCAGTCAACCTGCTGAAGGCTTCACTGCATTAGGGTTCACTGCCAGGCGCAGGGACCTGTTTTGGGCTAGCCTACTGGGTCTTAGTCTGCGGCGTCACCCAGGTCAAGTGCTCCCCACCAATCCCGCTTGAGAGGGGAATATGTGACTGATGTCACTGCAGCATCCTGTTCCGGCTAGTCTGTCCAGTCCCAGAATGTCCTCTGTTGGAGCCTCCTAGTCTATGGAAGGGTTCCCCCCCGCCACCACAGGTCGATGCAGGGCTCCCCGCCAGCTCTGCTCTCAATTTGGTTACCCAATTTCCACTCTCAGAGCTTTCGCGTCTCTGTCCCTGCTGTGCCAATTCAGATGCAGCAGCCGCGGCAGGAAATTCAAGCTGCAGTTTCCAGAGGCACGGGTTCCAGCTTCGGCACTGAGACTTTAGCTGTTCCAGTTGTAGCACCAGGATTGCATTTCCAGTTGGTTTCTGTCAGCTTAGTTCGTTCCTGGGTCGGCAGGGTATATCTCCCCCTGCTTAGGACTCCCCACACTGCACCATTCCTGGAATCCAAGCTGGCTATCTCAGAGAGCCTCCATAGCTGCTGTTATCAATCTGCCATGTTCTCCTGGAAGTCTGTAGTATAAGATTTTAAATGGAAAAAAAGTAGTTATTAATCTAGTTACCGTCAATACCTTTATTTCCTTAGGACACCTTGTACCTTTTAGTTCTGACAAAACAGTAGTGGCTTGGGGAGGTGGCAGCTTTGCTTGGTTAATTTCCCACATCATGTGACATGTCATCATTTCTGAGCTGGTTGGAAGAACAGAGCAGAGTGAATGTGAATTTGGTTTTTGGCGTCTGACACTGTCACGCCTGTCTTCACCCAGGACACTGTTACAGTCTTTGCTGCCCTGCTGAGCACCTCCGGTCCTGCTATCCTCACTTGCTGAGTGGTAAAGACTACAGTCACCTTTCCTGGCAGCCGTAGCCCAAGGGGAGGCCCAGGGTACATGGTGACCAAGAATGACACAGGATTGTTGAAGGTTACAAAGCACAACAGGTAGAATCATTCTGTGCCTGCCTCACAGTGAGGACTCTGTGTTGGTTGCTGCTTCCCATAAAACAGAATCATGGGGCTGGGAATTTAGCTCAGCGGCCTAAGTGCCTGCCTTGCAAGCAGGCAGTCGTGAGTTCAATCCTTGGTACCGATAAAAAGGAAAAAGACAAAAAAAAAAAAAAATCGTCACCATCCTTACCAGCATCATTGGCTCGGTGCCTCCCTCAGATGTTTAAATCTAGATGTTTTTAAGATGAAAAGGATCAAGTGAAGGTGGTTATGGCAGATTTCATGGACACCCTGTGCACTGTGCCTGCATCTTTCTTCCCTGCAGGTCTTCTTTGGCTGGCCACTCAGATTGCTGTTCTCTCAGTTAATTTGACAGTCGTAATGTGGGGACTTGTATATAACGGACATAGAAGCCTACACCTAATACCCAAGATAAAAATAAAACGAGGGTGGGGATTTAGTTCAGCAGCATAAGGGCCTACCTGGCAAGACTGGGTCATGAGTTCGATCCCCAGTACCAAAAAAAAAAAAAAAAAAAAAAAAAAAAAAAAAAAAAAAAACGCAGTTTCACTTAGATCATCTAGTGAAACTGAGATTATTTGAAAGCTATCAAAAATATAGCTATGGAGTCGGGCATGGTGGCTCACGCCTGTAATCCCAGCACTCGGGAGGCTGAGGTAGGAGGATCGTTGCAAGTTCAAGACCAGCCTGGGCTACAAAGTGAGCACAAGGCCAGCCTGAAATACCTGGTGAGACCCCCGTCTCAAAAAAGACAAAAAAATATATATAGCTAGCTATGGGCTGGGGGTTTAATTCAGCACAAGCACCTTCCTGGCAGTTATGAGTTTGATGCCTGGTACCAAGAAAAAAAAATTTATATATATATATATATAAACATGCACACACAGATGTATACATACATACATAGCTATGAGATCATACACCAGGACTGGGGTTATAGCTCTGGCACACCGTCTACCTGGCAAGTGCAAGGTCTTGAGTTCAATTCCCACTACCCCCCCCCCAAAAAAAATCCTACACTATAAAAATCAAAGTTTAATAGTGCTAATTCGTTGATTAGTAAGATAAAGAGTTTCAGATGTAGTGAAAATAGCACCAGTTTGATAATATTCCAGTGATTATTAATGTTTGTGATTTCCTTACTTTCAAAAAGAAGAAAAATACTTCTTTTTAAGATGACTTGGACTTTGAGCCGGGCATGGTAGCACACACCTATAATCTCGGCACTCAGGAAGATTGAGATGGGGGGAGCCTGGGCAGTTTGGTGACTTAGTGAAACCCTGTCTCAACAATTAAAAAAAAAAAGAGGGAGAAAAAGAAAACAAAAGCTGAGGATTTAGCTCATTGCAAAAGCCCTGGGTTCAGTCCCCAGTACTACAGGAAAAAAAAGGTAACTTGAACTAGAAGGGTCCTATCTAAAATGTAGCTACAAGCCACTGGTGGCTGTTCATGTGTAAACTAATTCATTACAGTTTTAGGGCCAGAGTTTTAGCTTGGTGGCCTAAACACCTGCCTGGCAAGTGTTAGTTCGTGAGTTCAATCCCTGGTACCAAAAAACAAAAAGAGAAAAAAAAAAAAACATTTCTAGCCATATGTACCTGCTCTTTACTGTATTCTACATTTCCGTGTATGTTATAACTATTTCAGAGCTGTTCTTTAATTTTTCCAGGTAACTTGGTGAAAGAGTTGCTGGCCCAGACCGAACACTTTAACCAGGAGAAGCCTCAGCCAAATTAAGGAGCTCCTGCCTCCCCCGCCCCTTAGAGATTTACCTGTAACCCTATACCCCTGCGCTTAGTAACCTACGTCTGGCGCCAAACGTGTGCCAATGGGCTACCTGTGAATACCTAATACCCCTTAGGGTCCACCCCAAACAGAGGCTACTTATGGGCCTCACTCCACGTGTTAGAGTGAGAGAGTGTGTTCCAGAGAGAGACCGCTGGCCCCGGGGTGGAGATGCTGCGCCCCGGGGGCCGGGGGGGTCTCTCCCCGCATTCCCGAAATAAAGGTTACTTATATTTTATACTTCTTATCTTTGTAGCCACCTCCGCCCACTCCTTCCATGGCCATCCACTCCACCCTTTCCACTCTCTCCACTCCTTCCTTCCCCACTCTCCTTCCTTCCCCTCTTCCTCCTCTTCTCAGACCTAACACTTGGTAAAATCACCAAACCTAAAGAGCAGTAGCACTAAAAGGCTTGCTCTACAATGCCTTCCTTCACGAGGAGCTCTGCTAGAGGCTGGGATGCCGCAGCCTCCTTGTCCTTCATTACTTATCCAATACCCTTGGGAAAGGATGGGCTGATGAAGAGCCCCCTGGGTTGTGTAGTGGCCTCTGAGTTATCTTCAGCTCCCTGGGAGCAACATGCAGCCCTAGAATGGACCACAGGAAAACTGGGTTTAGTCTCCTGCACTGATAGTGTGCCCAGGGGCTAATGCACTCAGCATCTAAGGGCCTTTTACAGTCCTGGAGCTCCAGCAAGGCAATTTGTACTTCTGGGATTCCACTCAGCACACTCATTGGGGGTGCTCCTGGCTATAGTGTCACTGCGTTAGGGGCGAGGCCCCCGTGGATGGTCTTTAATTATGGAGACAGCATATCCTTCATGAAAAAGGAAGAACACAGTGAGACATCTGATCATAAGCAAACCAGGGAAGGCAGTAAAGTAATTCAGATTTTTCTAATAGGTTAGAAAGGGGGAATGAAGTGAAATTGATTGTAATAGTAAATGTATTTAATCGAGTAAATTCAGGGTGTTATCATTTTTACATGGAATCGATGTTTATTCACCACCAAGTTTACACTCTTTGTGCCACATCTTATTGCCTGGTGGATGTTTCCCATTTCCAGTGTTTCATTCTTTGGCCTGACCAAGGGCAACAGCAGGGGAAGACCAGAGCATGGGAAAGAAGAGGAGGAACCAGATAAGACCTGAGGCGGGTTGGAGTAGGAACACCCGGGCCTTGGACACAGATGTCACCGCTTGCTGTACAGTTGTTAGCATGGATACACGATGACATGATTTAGAGAGACCACCGAGTGACAGAGCACAGGAGTCAGGGGTGTGAGAGAAAAGGGAAAACCACCAAGAGGTTTAGCGTGAAGCCAGGGTGCAGGGGCCTCAGCTAGGCTGGTGGTCATGGGCAACTCAAGGAAGAGTTGACCATGAAAGCTCTCTCTGAATAGCAAATAGGGAGAATTCAAATACTTCCCAAACTAAGTATTCCATTGTTTTAGAAATATTTTAATATATATGCTAGCTGATTTCATGTATACTACTAGTTTATCTTAGTTCTTTCAAAAAAAAGTTTTCTGTTACTGTTTGTCTCTTTTTGTAAGAATCTTTTTGGTTTATGTCTTGTACTCAGATAATACACCATATGATAACTTGCTATTCTCTTATGTGATTATGAAATTTTGGTAGTTTTTTATAAAAGAATTTTTTTAAAAAGAATGTGATCAGTGGAAATAAAGCAGAAAGGATATCAAACTTTCCCAGCAGTGTGCTTCATCTTTTGATATGCTTAATCATTTGATCCACAAGTATTGATTGAGTGCCTGCTGGTTTACAGAGTTAGCAAAGGCAGCTAATTAAGCATACATGCATATAATTATACCTAAACCTCTGTAATAAATGTTGCAAAGGAAAAATCCCCGTGCTTTGATTTAAGAACTCGTAAAACCAGAGAGACATATTTTAAGAAAGTAGAGAATGAGGAGGTACTGAGCCTTAATAAGCACAAAGAGCAAGTGGAATGGGGAAAATTGATTGGGTACGAAGGAGGAGGATCAGAAACCCAGGGGCTAAGGCAGGAATGAGCTTTGCACATTTCAATAGCTTGTGGCACAGGCATAAATCCAACTCAGAACTAGTCATCTAATAACCAAAATTACATACTTCTTACTGGGGACTCTAAAGGGATTTATTGCTCATCAGTGATGGATTATTGACACCATTTTAATGACAGCCTTAGCTCACTTAAGCCATGGATGATACAGTTGCTCTTTTTATTCCATTTTCCCTATATAAAAAAGAAAACTGAATTAGCATACAGAATCATCTTCGTATTCTGAAGGAAAATACAAATAACCACCAGGAAATTATTTCAGTCTGCTTTTTGCTTAAATGAGGAAGAAGAGGAAGAGGAAAAAATGCGAGCTTGGGAACAATCAGCCCCTAGGAAAAAGCTGATTTCCCTAAGTGGACAGTGACCAAATCCTCCTGGGTGGGGGTGGGGGTGGCCTAAATTAGCAATGCAGGGCAGGGGAGGACCTGCTAGAAGCTGAACTTACAAAGCAGGGAGGTGTGGGGGACAAACTAAACAGCATTGGGATCATAAAACGGCAGTTAAAGGAACTAGCATGGGTTCCTTGGGCCAGTGTCACTGGGGTGAGAGTTGGTACTTTGTACTTCTTGAATGAAATGGCAAATAATTCAGAATGGCTATTGTACTGTTAGTTATTCCATGGTCCTCACAGGAGACCCTTATTAATTGGCTTTGAAGAGTATGAATTCTCTTAATTACCAGCCACAGTTTCTCAGAGGTGCTGATCGGTAGTTTCTTTGCGCCAGACATCTTTAAAACAAAACCAGGGCCACTGAAACACATTGTAGAAGGAATCTGCACCCTGGTCCAATTACAGTATTGAAATATTCTGCCAGTTGAAGTGCATTTTCTACTTAAGATTTCTGAAATAGAAAATAATTTATCATTAAGGAACAAGTCCTTTTATACCAAGAAAAAGACATAAGGGTCAGATCTCCTTTAGAGACAAGAGAATAGTGTGCTATAGGTGGGAATTAAAAAAAATAAAACCACTGTACTCTTGAGTTCCCACAGAGGAGGATTTGTCAAGCGCTGCAGGATAATTGTGTGTCCTATTAGGCAGCATCCCTGGTCTCAACCACTAGATAGCACTAGCACTCTTCTAGTTCTGACAACAAAAAATTTCCCTGGACATTGCCAAATGTCCTTGGCTATGGCTCTCAAAGCTAACGATCCTGATCTAGATGGTTCCAGGAAGTCTTGACCTAAGGTCTGTACTGCTGAGGAAATTTTGTCCCTACCCCAGAAAGCAAAGCAAAGGCCAAGACAATTTCTCTTGTAGGGCTATTAGCAATACAGAAAAATATTTCTTCTGTCCAAGTAAGCCAACAACAATTTTCTGTTGCTTATAGAAATAGGATGAGACTGCCCTATACCAGGGATTTCAGTAAGTACCAGTTGCCTTGTCACTTTTTCAAATCTTGGACTCATTCTTGGTGGGACAAGATATAGAGGGTCATTGGTAATGATGTCCGTCGATTCATGTTCCTCCTGGTTTTCATGCTGGTCTTGATTCTACTCACCAAATGCTAATGCCATAATTCTAAAAAGCAAATAACTGAACCATGGTAAATTGTTAGATATGGGAAATCCTGTGTGGATTTCCCAACAGGTCTGCGTTATCAGGAAGTCTCTGTATTGATTGCTGCAAAAACCTGGGGTTTGCCTCTGTAGAAGAAAATCAGTGTCAGAGGACTGGGAATGTAACTTAGTAGTAGAGCACTTGCCTAACATGTGCAAAGCCCTGGGTTCAATCTCTGGTACCAGGTAAAGAAAATGAGGGAAGGAAAGTCAGTATCAGCCATATCATTAGTGTCTATGTGAAACATCGTTAATGCCCATGTAAGATGTGACAGGAGACAAACTACACCATAATAGATCACATTCACATTCAGGTGACATAGTATGAGTTTGAGAGACCTTAGCACAGCTAATAATCCTCCAGATTTTAGTAACTAAGTGGTCTGATGCATATGCGGTTGAAGAGAGTGTCATCAATAAAGGGCATATCAAACTGTCTTCAGGGTCACACTGACTCCTTTGTTAGCTGTTTAGATCCAAAATGTCCCCCAAAAGTGTGTTCAAACATGGAGCTTTTAGAAGCTGACTGGATCATGCGGGGCACTGTACACATCAGTGGATTGATCAATACATTGATGAGATTATGAGGAATGTGCTGTTAGGAGGTTGGGTCTGGTTGGAGGTCCATCACTGGGCTGTCATCTGGAATGCTGTTTTTCATCCCCAGCTCATCCCTTTCCTCTCTGCTTCCTGGCTACCATAAGGTGAGCAACTTTCCTCCATAGCCCCCAAGCCAGCCAACTGAGGACTAAATGAACAGTGAGCCAAATTAAACTCCTCCTCCTTGAAGATACGGCTATCAAGTATCGTGTCCCTGCCACAGGAAAGTGCCTGCACCTCTGGAGTAACAGATAATCTTTCCTCATGGAATTTGAAGCTGCTAAAGATAAATGAAGGGACAATGTAGTGGGCCAGTGCATGTGCAGTTAAAGGAACAGTGTCAGATCAACATAGGACACATGAAACTGCCCCCATGATCGCATCAACCTCTTTCTTCAAAATAGCATGAAACTCATTGGTCATTTTTAAGTTGTGATAAAATATACATCACATACACGACATCTGCCATCTAACTACTTGTAAGAATACAGTTAAATGATCTTAAATACATTCACATTATTGTGCATCCATCACTACCATCTATATCTAGAATTCTTTTTCTCTTGTAGAACTGAAATTCTATGCCTATTGAATCCCTATTCTCCCTCCTGGGCCCTGGCAACCTCCATTCTGTTTTCTGTCCTCTAAAAACCTGTGGATCTGCCTACTCTAAATACCTGAGTGGAATCGTGCAGTATGTGTCTTTTTTTTTTTTTTTTAGTATGTGTCTTTTTGTGGCTAACTTGTGTCACTCGAGGTTCATCTATGTTCTACCATGTGACAGGATTACCTTTTAAAGGGTCAGCGATATCTGTCCATGGATAGAACACATTTTGTTTATCCCTCACCTTTTTACTATTAGGAATTTTACAATGATACATCAGTTCATGAACTTGACTTTTTCCATGATTCTGGTTGCAAAATGAGTTGGACGAGAACTGAATAAAATTCAGTGGTCAGGTTCAATGAAGTTAGATTTGATTCTTATCCAGTTCAGTTGCAACCAGAATCGTGG